TATCGTCTCGAAAGAGTGTGTATATATATATATGCGTGTGTAACCCAACAGTTTGTGGGCGAGTGGTCAGTAGATATGTGCAAAGCACTGTAGATGGGTGCAAAGCACTTAGACGTTGGTGGTTCGATTTCTGGTTGGGGAGGGGTTTTCACATGGACTGTCCCGATCCTCTGGAAGATGTAGTTAGGTCAAAAGGCTCGGTGAAGTTCCGGATTATCAAAAAAAAAGCTTCGGATTATCAAAAAAAAAATATGCGTGTGTATATACCATGTTCGGTTTGACGAGAAATTGCTACTGAAATTTTTATATGAATATATATCATTTTTATTACTGTTTCAAATACATAATTGAAAAGACGGATTTACCCCTACATTTTAAAGGAATTACAAAATAACCTTCCATTTTGTTTTTTTGTTTTCAACTTCCCCTGCGAACCCTCACACGACATGCCACATTACGCTCACTCTCCCTGCCGTCGCCGACTACACCCACAGACCCACTGCCTCGCCGCCTCTTTTCCTCCGTGTCGGTGCCTCGCTTCGGCCCTCTCCGATCCATCGTTGTGTACCGTAAGTCTCGCCCTGTCTCTCGCATCGTTCCCCGCTATTGTTACTCCACCCTCCTCCTTATCCTTTTAGTTCTATTGACTTTCGTTTGAGGAGGCTTTGCTAGGGTTTTGTTGACTCTTTGAGTTTATATGCGTATGCCCTTTTGTATTCTTTATATGCATATTGAAAACGAATGGTATATGAAGAATTCAACAGTCTCAGGTTTGTTGTTTGCATGTTTCATTGGTTACAATCGAGCTGCTGAAGAACGTCATCGTATTATTTGCCATGTTTTTCCTATTTATTCCAGTGGAATAGTTTAATTTTTCTGTTTGTGTGTTTATCAGAATCATGTGTCTGTGTTGTTTGTGTGTTAGTGTTTAACACTGTGTCAGAATCTCGTGTTTTTGTGTTTGTGTTTCTGTTGTGTACTTTATAAGTTGGAGAATGTAAATACATGAATGTGATGGGCTGATTCTCTGATGCTTCTTGGTGAATGTGATGAGTGTGATTGTTCCCAAATTTATAGGGTTTAGTGTCTGATTTCATGACTATTCTCTGTTTTTTTGGGTTTAGATTTGTTCTTTCAGATTGTTGGATCACTTGGACTGATGGCATCTGCCATCTGTGCTGGTAGTCTTATATTCAATGATAATGTATGATGTTCTTAGTATGTTTGACTTAGCTTTGCCAAGATTTGCAAAGATATGTGGTTGTAATGTACAACATTCTTGGTATGTTTGGCTAAGACTTCTTTGGTAAGAACTCTACTGGCAGACACTTCTACAGAGAGAGAATGGACTATAAGCATGAAGATATTTGTGTTCTCTTAACATGAACACTTCGATGAACCTTGTATTTTTTTCTTCTATTTGCGCGCCTTTGTCTTGACAAATCTTGTATTTGTGTAGGATTTATGACACTCTAATTACAATTTATGTATAAGATATTCTGTCAAATGGGTATCAGATCGGTTAATATCTCGTGAGACGTGAGATGTTCGGGTTTAGGTAACTCGAAAATCTCTGATACCTGACTCGTGCCCACCCTTGTTATAGCTTGAGGCTGCTTGGGCTTTGACGAATGTTGCATCCCGAACTTTGGAATAATACAAAGGTGGTGATTGATGATGGTCTTGTTCCTATTTTTGTCAGGTTGCTAGCCTCCCCAAGCGATGGTCTCTGAGAACAGGTAAGCATGGCCATCGCTTTCTTCTGAAAGAGTTACCTGTGTTAACTTTTAATTTCTCTGAATAAGAATTTTCTTAGATTTTCTTTTGAGTCACACTCCTGAATTTGTAGGCTGTATGGGCTTTAGGGAATGTTGCTGGCGTTTCTCCACGGTGCCATGATCTTGTCCTCAGTCATGGTGCCTTGATGCCAATGCTGGAACAACTGAATGATCATGCTAAGCTCTTGATGTTGAGAAATGCTACTTGGACACTCTCAAATTTCTGCAGGTGCGAAGCACGACCTCCTTTTGGCCAGGTTTCTCTTCTTTTACTCTTATAGCCCCCTAGTGAACTTTTTTCTCCCCAGTTGACGGTTTAGTTATTAATAAATGAGATCTCTTATTAACAGGTTAGGCCACCACTTCCAGCTTTCAAACGTCTTGTTCATTCGACTGATGAGGAAGGATTGACATGACAGGGTCTTACTCTGTTCTTCTTGGTTACAAGTGTTCCGCACGAGTATGACATGCCAGGCTTTGCTTCTTCGTCATCAAAAGTAGCAGTAATGGCGAAATCCCCCAATTCCCGTTGTCCCAAAATCGTTAAATCCCTAGTTTTCCCAGTTAAACCCACCAATCCTGTTGATCAGCGTTATATTTCTCAAATCATTGAGAGAAAAGATTGGTTTTTGATCCTTAAGCAGGAATTTAGGGCTCGTAGAATCGGGTTGAACCCTGGCTTTGTCATCAGCGTTCTGCAGAATCAGGAGAACCCATTGCATTCTCTTAGATTCTACATCTGGGTCTCAAACACTGACCCTGTTTACGCTAGGGATCAGTCTCTGAAGAAAGTTCTGGGAAACACCCTTTGTCGGCGAGGTCCGCTTTTGTTGTCTGCTGAATTGCTCAAGGAGGTTCGGGATTCGGGTTTCCGTTTTACCGAAGATCTGTTGTGTATTTTGATCGGAAGCTGGGGCAAATTAGGATTAGCAAAATACTGCAATGAAATTTTTGAGCAGATATCGTTTTTGGGAATTTGTCCTACCACGCGGCTGTACAATGCGGTTATTGATGCTTTGGTTAAATCCAATTCGCTTGATTTGGCTTATCTGAAGTTTCATCAGATGCGTAGTGATAATTGTAAACCAGATAGGTTCACTTACAATATACTGATTCATGGTGTCTGCAAGAAGGGTGTGGTTGAAGAGGCGGTCCGGTTGGTTAAACAAATGGAGGGGGAGGGGAACAAACCCAATGTATTCACATACTCAATTTTGATTGATGGGTTTTTGATCACGGGAAGGATTGGTGAAGCTTTGAAGCTTGTGGAGACGATGCGAAGGAGAAATGTGAGCCTGAATGAAGCTACTATCAGGACATTGGTTCACGGGACATTCCGCTGCTTGCCTCCACATGAAGCATTCGAGGTTTTAGTTGGGTTTCTGGAGAAAAACCCTATCTTGCAAAGGGTGGCGTGTGATACTTTGTTGTATTGTTTGACGAGTAGCTCGATGGCTAAGGAAGCGGCATTGTTCCTGAGGAAAGTAGGTGATAGAGGTTACGTACCTGATGGTTCAATGATCAACGTCGTGTTGAATTGTCTCTTGAAAGGGTTTGATCTTGATGAGACGTGTGAAATATTTGACAGTCTTGTTACCCGAGGTGTTAAACCAGGGTTCACCAGCTATCTCTCTGTGGTTCAAGCTCTATATAAAGAGGGGAAGTACCCCAAGGGTGACCAATATTTGAACCAAATGGCCGTAGGCGGGCATATATCAAGTGTATATGCTTATAACGCTGTAATTGACTGCCTCTGTAAAGCTCAAATGTCAGAACAGGCTGAGACGTTCGTCACCGAAATGAAAAATAGAGATATTTCTCCAAATCTAATCACTTTCAATACCTTAATAAGTGGATACAGCGAGAGAGGAAACATAAACAAGGTGCGCGAAGTGTTAGAGATTCTTCTGGAACAGGGTTGCCATCCGGATGTTGTCACTTTCAGTTCCATCATCAACTGTCTTTGTCGTGCAAAGGAAATCCAGGATGCATTTGATTGTTTCCAGGAGATGCTTCAGTGGGGTATCTGTCCAAATGAGATCACATACAATATTCTGATCCATTCTTCATGTATTGCCGGGGATATCAGTAGAGCATTTAAGTTGTTCAGGAACATGAGGCAAAGTGGGTTGAATCCTGATGTTTATGCGTTCAATGCACTTATTCAGTGTTTCTGTAGGATGAAAGCCGTTGAGAAAGCCGAGAAATTGTTTAAAGCCATGTTGAGGATCGGTTTGCGACCGGATAACTATACTTATAGTGCTATCATCAGGGCCTTGAGCCAATCTGGAAGAGAGAGTGAAGCAGTAGAGATGTTTAGTACAATGGAACAACAGGGCTGTGTTCCCGATTCGTATACTCGGTGCCTCATGGAAGAGCTCACTCTAAAAAAGAATGAATCTTCTGTAGAACCAGTGTCTGCATAGTAGGGAATTAGAGCTTTTGACGGGCATTTTGGCTTCTCTGGCTCTTACTGTGCTTGTATTTCCTCCTCAAGTTAAAACCTACAATGCCACCTAAGAGTTTCCTTCAAAAAGGTTGTCTTGTGGAGGGAAGACTGATGGACTCTGTTCTCTCCTTAGATGATGAACGATGGCAATGTCAAGCTGAAGCTGTATATTCCCAGTTGGTTAATGAAGTGATGGAAGACCCCTTTCAGTTTGTCGGTATCTTCCTGTTCTTTCCCAGGTACGTCATGAAGTTGGCATCAATTTTTCCATCAAAAGTTGTGAGTTCTAATGCTTTGTATTCATGTCAATGTTATCTCTTATGCACCCACTTGACAAATTTAATTCAAATTTCCCCTCCCTCCATTTACTGATGTATTGCAGCCGGTATCTCTGATGGAAGACTTCTGAAAACTGGCTCGGGCAAACACAGAAACGAATTAGGAATCTTGCGGCGTGCTGGCTGGCTCTCTGGTGAGCAAGAGTCAGTGATGGTGAAAGTGAAATCACCGAGGATACAGACAGTGCGGCGAATTCTTGTTCCAGAAAATGAACGAGGAGCCATTCCGCTGGCAGGCCCTATAACTAAGACAAGGTGTGTGTTATTATTGGGAGTGTGCATCTCTGAAAGGTAGTTGTAATGCGTTGATACTCACTCACTTACATTTATCAGACAGTTTTAGAGGTTACAGATTCCCCTCTGTAAGCATCTTCTAAGCTGTTTACTATTGTAAGACAAGACATGGAAAGACTTTTGGGCAAAACATTAATAAATGTGTTCCAATAGGTACTGTCTTCTTTGCTGCGCGAGTCAACCGCAATAATTTCACATAATTTTAAATTCTAATACAGAAAGACTATGGGGAACTGAACTGAAGGGGTGAGGTTTTAAAGCAAAAAACCACAAAAAGAAAAGAAGCCGAAGAGTTGGAAAAAAAAAAAGAGGCCGTCGGGGCAACCAACACGGACATCTTTCATAACTCTCGGACAAAATTGTATTCGTCCCTCTGAAATCTGGTTTTTCTCCTCTTCCGAGAATCCCTGACTTCATTATCTGGTAATTTTATTTTTCTCATCTTATTCTTTCCTTCGATTGTTGTTGTATTGGTCACGTGAAAAAGCTACTGTTGTATTATTTTGCCATGTGGTAACAGTGTAATTATATATATAATGATTTGTATTTAATGGTAATGATTGTCTCGCATGGAGTCAATGCTGTATTATTAACGTATGCTTCGAGTTACTACTATATTAGAGCCTAAGAGTTTCAAGATCAATAATCGCGAAAAATGGTCACACTTTTTCCTCTTAAATAAATAAAAGAAATGGTACAAGGATAAAGATTGGTATCCATAGGGGCGGTATAAGGGTGCTTGGGACACTTGAAATTTGTGGGTTTTTAGATATCCGGTTGTACGGGTACGGGTATTTGAGGCATGGGCATTCACTATATGACCAAAAATCTGGACTATGGGTTCAAATTTGGATTTTATTTGATATTTTCGAGAATGACGTTTATATCAAAATTTATTTACAATAACACCTAAATATATTTTTAAATTAAATTATTAACACCCTAGAGTCAACAATAGTCAACGATTTCTAAAGATTTTGGTGGGTTCATAATACCTTCGAGTAACTGAGTTTCGTGAAAGGTATCCGAACCGCGGTTAAACAAAATTCACGAAAACAAATGTTCGCGCTATCAAAACCTGTAAAGATAAAAACGTTTCCTCATAAGTAACCATGTCCGCGCTATCCAAATGTTCATGAATCTGGAACCAATATAACACTTTTACAAAAAATTCTGTATAATGCACATAAAATAAGATTTAGCTAAAGAATTAATTAAATAATAATAATTATAGTTTTCAATATTTTCTTCGTTAATTATTTTAATTTTAGTGCTACAAGTATTAGATTACTTTTATATTGTAACTGCTCTTTTTTAGTGTCTATAGTTAATTAAAAAACCAGGATACATATCGAAATTATTGACAAAATATTCCAACAAGTGTTCGTAATCATCAGACAGAGCTTTCTAGGCAGCAATTTCCATCAAAAAGCAGTCGAGTTTTTCGACCGCTCAGAGCCCAGTGCATATATCATCATCTTTCAACTTCTCCATCACGAGGAAAATAAAAATCTGCAACTCCGGAGATGGATCCTCAGAAATGATGCTTATAGCTTTCATCAATAATGTATCAGGTCTCAAAGATTCATGCCATCACAGGATCCTCCAGTGCCGCAAACAACGAAGATTCATATAAAAAATTCGAATTAAAATGTATAGAAATATAGCAGGAGCTTATTCGCTGAGCCTGGTAGAGATTCACGAAGGCGAAGCGACTCAACGTTCCTGCGAAAATATTCCGCCTCTACTGGAAAAATCGATGAGAAAAACATCCTTTAAATCGAACTTCGAAAGGAAAATCCATCTGAGAGGCGATTCCGAAAACAGGGAACGATAAGGAAAAAAAAAACGAAACGAACAAGGATACCGATCAAGAGAGGAGGGATACGCAGCGAACTGAAGAGACGATCTGATATATAGAGGGGAAATTTGGGGATTTAGGGTTTTCTTCTGTTTAGGCCGGCGGAATAACAATAGCACGTCGAACGAAAAAGCCCATAAAATTTCCTTAGAGTTGAGGCCCAGCCCGACTAATGAAATCACTGTCTCCATGTGGTGGAAAAATAATTCTTGTTATAAATTTATTTTGCTTGCATCTGTATATTAATGAAAGAAATGGTAATAAGAAACTACAACAACAACATTGCCTAAAGTATATTTGGGATGAATTCTTCGTTTCTATTTATTTCAATTTTGGATTAAATATTTTGAAATTTGCAATAATTTCAAATCGTTACTAATAACTCCTTTACAAGTGAATCTAGGCATATTTTTCTCTCTCCTAATCGGGTTCAAAAGGTTGGGTTTATAAGGGATTGAGGTCTGATTTGAATGAATTGTTCAGATTTATTATCTCAGGAAAAGAGATTATTGTCTCCGATATCATATAACTTGCTTTTGTTTTAGTCACCTAATAGATGGTATAGTTGGATCATTACGACATATGAATAGATACGTGTAGAAAAAAAAACTTATAGGAATATGATAAAAATGATTCAAAATATCAAAACTTCATTTTTTTATTGAAGAAAAAAATTAAAAGAAGAAAAAAAACCCACGAGATGGGTGGAGAGAAACTTGGAAAAGAATATTGAAGGAGATAAAGTTGTGATCTTGCTTAAAATTCTCCTATTCTTAAGCAAAAATAGATACGATATTCAACTACTTAAAATAAAAATAAAATCAAATAAAAAAAAACACAAAGAACAAAAGAAAATACAAGATTGTTTTTCTAACAAGATGTTGTACAACATGACCAACCAACTGTATACAACTTTTGGTTTAAAAGAAATATCTACAGACAATATTAGATAGAGAGCCAATTCTATTCTAACTCTTTACTGACCCACTTAATTATGTCACGACTCTTGGTGGTTTTACCGTTTACCTATCCCCCACTAAATTTCATAGATATTCCGACCAATCCGGTCATCATTACCTGCCACGTTACACGATCCTACATGATTTAGTTCCATAAGTTCGCCCATGTTTCATGTACCTGCGCATGTATCCCCCAAAAAACAAAATTCCCAAAGAATTACAGAACAATGATTACTATTACTAATACTGCTACTAAAAATAAATTAAAAACAAAACATATAAAGAAGTTTTTTATGAACCGTCAAAGTTTTATATCATTTGGCCCACCTGATGGATGGGTGGTGCTTCCATTGACGATTGAAGCAGCAGCTCCCCCTCGTATCTGTATCCGACCATACTCCTGGACAACCCCAAAATTCACAACGTATCATAATAAGATACGTAAGCAATCCACTTGTTGTCCTTCACGGGTCTCTCTCTTTGTTTAACACTTGAAAATCTCAATCCAAAGAAGCCGTATTTATTGTTGTTACATGATACACATGCATCCATTGTATGCCCTTCCTTATCCATTATCACTTCAAATCAGATTTAAGTGCAGGTAGAATCAGTACGTGCTAATGATACATGATGCAATACTCAAAATAACATCAGTACTAACCTGGGAATTTTGACCAACCCCTGGCATTGCATACTGCGTTCCCAAAAGTGAAAGAAAAGATAATCGAATTAGAGGTGGTACGATACACAATGTTTAACTACAAGGTAAACACATAAAGGGGACACCAACCGGATACAAAGATTGCTGTAACTGCTGATGGCCATGATATTGTGTTTGATGCTGGTAAACCTGTTGCGGTTGTTGTGTCACCTGCTGATGTGATTGGGTCTGAGCCTGCTGTACAGGTTGATTCTGCTGCTGCTGTTGCTGCTCGAACTGAACCAATTCCTCTGGTTTTTCCCACTAAGAAAGTCAACCAGACAAATATTATAGTGCATCTTGAGGAGCTGAAAACTAAAAACAGAACCGGCAAAGAGGAAATAAGTTACCCTGCTTTCACGTGTTACACCGTTGAAATAGTATTTGAATCCATCAGGCGAAGTATGCTCCGTCCAGTTACATCTGGCAGGAGTGACAGACTGGCTGATTGAAGATGCAGCTGAAGGCACACCACCAACTGGCATTGAACCAGTGGTGCTTACAACCGTCTGAATCCCGACTCCAGGCCACTAATAATAATAGCAAAACAGGCCATGCGCATTTGAGAAAATAAGTATCGATTGCAAAGATATAAAACATGAGAGATGTCTTCCAGAACATAGCATGCAAAGTTGAGATCAAGATACAGAAGTTTGAACTCAACCAAGAGATACTAAGTAATTCCACCTCCCCATACCTGCTGTTGACCAGCTTGGATATTCTGCAGAACTGATAAACTTTGGTTTGGTTGCTGCATGGAGTGCAGCTGCTGCTGCAGCTGAGAAAACGCTTGTTGAGACAACTGGAAGGTTGCTTGTAGAGTCTGTGTTTGCTGGGACAAAAGCTGAGCTAACTGAGTAGGAGGCTGCTGTATTTGCTGCAACTGTTGTTGCTGAGCATGAGCAGGCAATTGATCAGGTGCAGAGGAGACTGAAAATGGTCGTAGGTTGATGTTCAAAGGTGCTTGAGGTGCCGTTGTGGGAGAGATGCTTTGCTGAGGAGAAGGCAAATGGCTGCTGTAACCGTAAGGATTCTGCGGAGCTGCTACCTGACTTAAGGCTTGCTGGGCACTGGGCATGCTAGTCTGGAGTTGAATGGAATGGGGAGTATCCTGTGAAGATTGAACAGACTTCTGTAGTGGTGATACCTGCTGGCTTTTAGAGGGAATTTGCTGTTGAGAAGGAATAGACAGAGTGCCAAAATAATCAGGACTGATATCAGGATTGCTGGGATACCAGAAGTGAAAGATCCCTCAAGCTACCTGTTGCAATGTGACAGAAGATGAAGCTGAAGTATTTGGAAGAGGATTAAGGGGGAGGACACCATAGCCACCCGAGGGACCACCCTAACATTTTCGGATGCCATGAAAACTATCAGAACTTTTTATGAGAAAAAGGACAGAACAAGAAATACCATAATCAGAAATTCAGAATATATATATATATATCACAACCAACAGCGTCATATCAAGGATATGATTTTTTAGCATCACATGAAAGACAGGAAAGATAGAACTATAGAAGGGGGATCTCCCAGCTCCTTTTTATGAGTCCTCGTGCTCGTGATAATTTACCCATGTGCTCGTACTTGTGTGAGTGTGTAGACATACGAAGAGACATAATCGTTAAGCTGTTCTCACCACATTTGACGGCAATGTTCCTTGACTACCAGGCTTGGGAGGAAAGCCAGTCCCAACCACATGAACCCCAGTATTAGGAGGTGGACCTATGTTTGGTGAGCTCATTGGATTCCATGGATTTGTATGGACTGCATCTCCATTGGGGTCTCCAAAGTTTGACAAGGGCCTACAAAATAATGACAAGGAAACCAAATTAAACATAACGATATAACTATATTGAATGAAGCTAAAATATTTTCCGTTAAGTTACCTTGGACCAGGTGGTTGAAATCGAGGCCCTGAACCAGGTCCACCGGCAGGTATATTATCTCTGAAAACAGAAACTAGTTTAGAAACACAGAATGTAATGCTTCAGCAATTCAATACAAATGCGCTGAAGAGGACAGAGACAGTTTCCAAATCTCAAGACAATCATTTAGGAACTGCTTCCTTATAACTTGAATTGTTCTCCCTAAATATACAGAGAGAAAAAACGAAAAGCACATACCGACATGGTGGAAAGAACATGAAAATGAATCAATATAATCTCCAAGGTAATACCTTGACTCGCCAGGTCTAGATCTCTTTGGATCAGCAAAGCGGACAATCAACGGCTGATTGCACCCCTGGCCAATGATTTTAAGACAAGTGAACAAAAAAAACACTCAAATACTTAGTGGAGTCAAATGACAATACAGACTGAACAGAGATAGCCGGTGAAAGTGAGGCTTACTCTCATAGTATAAACTCCACTAAGACCATTGATAGCTGCCATTGCCGTTTCCTTGTTTGAATATTTAACAAATCCACATCCTAAATTAAGGAAAAGATAAACATACATCCTAATTAAGGAAAAGATAAACATGGTTTGACACAAATGAATCACTGGTGCAAGAGTATTATAGAATCTTTAGGAACTAAACGACATACCACGACTCTGTCTATATTCATCACGCATAAGATAAACCTCTTCAACACGGCCAAATTGAGAAAAGATCTGCAAATGCCGCAACAGTGAAAAAGTTCACTACATTATTTCTGTGACAAATATATAGCAAGAAGAGGCAACTGCCCCCCTCGTCTATAAATTATAGTTTTCAAAAACACAAACAAGACACACAAACAGTACAGTCCATTCAGAAGAAGAGATCAGTAAATAAGTTCCACATGCAAATACTCATAGATACAGAGGGCATTCTTTTCTCAACGAATAACCTATGGGCATTCCTTGGGGAAACCAATAACATTTGTGGAAAAAAAAAACATGGACGATATCAGTATCTTATCAACACTGCACAGCAAAATCTAATCAAATCTTTCCTGCTCTGCTAATCTGGCATTAATCAAGGAAGTCTACAAAAGAATCTAAAGCTGGAATATGAAAGATACCTCCTCAACTTCTTTTTCAGATGCCTGTTTGTTCAGCGATCCAACAAATAACTTATACTCCAGTGCACCTATCAGAAGAAGGGGAAAAAGGTCAGCAGGCAGACAGTGAAAGAAAGCAGTCGAATAAACAAGATCAGCATTTTTTAGAATAGAGATAGCATATTGCAAAATTACAATTATTCATAGTTTGGATTTACAGTATAGATACCCAATCCCGTGTACACCAGAGAATCAGGATTATGATAAGGTACATGACTCAGAGATAATTACCTAGGCGTTCTCTCTCCCCGTCAGCATACCGAACTTGAATAGGGCCGATTCCCTGAGAATCAACAAATTATAAAAAGTGAAACTACCAGCATTTGCCAGTTCCTAGAAGAAACAGCAGTGGCAATTACCCCAGGGAGAGTAATCTGGTTATGCAATGCTCTAATGGCTCTATCAGCATCTTCAGAGGTTGCATATTTTACAAAACAACAGCCTGCATTAAAGACGGATTACTTGAACTGTATGCTAAAGGTTCAAAATTCCCCTCTATCAACATCAGGAGGTATCAAAATGCATTGAAAGTTTGCAATGTAAATTTATAAGCCACACCCACAATCTGGCAGAAATAGAACTTCACAAAACATGCAAGTTCAGAAGAAAGAATTAACAATCCAGAAAGGCCTTGGCAGTCTCCTTTCTTGACCAATGGAGCATATTGAAAGGCAACAACTTAATCAGCCAGGGTTGGCAAATAACTATCTAAAGCAAGCCCTTTCAGAGAAGGAAGAGAGAGAATGTGCAAGGAGCACGAATCATACATTCACAAATCCAGACAGAAGTAAACGGTATTCAAAATAGAAACAGGGAATCACCCATTCCTGCATAATCGTTAAGCTGTTCTCACCACATTTGACGGCAATGTTCCTTGACTACCAGGCTTGGGAGGAAAGCCAGTCCCAACCACATGAACCCCAGTATTAGGAGGTGGACCTATGTTTGGTGAGCTCATTGGATTCCATGGATTTGTATGGACTGCATCTCCATTGGGGTCTCCAAAGTTTGACAAGGGCCTACAAAATAATGACAAGGAAACCAAATTAAACATAACGATATAACTATATTGAATGAAGCTAAAATATTTTCCGTTAAGTTACCTTGGACCAGGTGGTTGAAATCGAGGCCCTGAACCAGGTCCACCGGCAGGTATATTATCTCTGAAAACAGAAACTAGTTTAGAAACACAGAATGTAATGCTTCAGCAATTCAATACAAATGCGCTGAAGAGGACAGAGACAGTTTCCAAATCTCAAGACAATCATTTAGGAACTGCTTCCTTATAACTTGAATTGTTCTCCCTAAATATACAGAGAGAAAAAACGAAAAGCACATACCGACATGGTGGAAAGAACATGAAAATGAATCAATATAATCTCCAAGGTAATACCTTGACTCGCCAGGTCTAGATCTCTTTGGATCAGCAAAGCGGACAATCAACGGCTGATTGCACCCCTGGCCAATGATTTTAAGACAAGTGAACAAAAAAAACACTCAAATACTTAGTGGAGTCAAATGACAATACAGACTGAACAGAGATAGCCGGTGAAAGTGAGGCTTACTCTCATAGTATAAACTCCACTAAGACCATTGATAGCTGCCATTGCCGTTTCCTTGTTTGAATATTTAACAAATCCACATCCTAAATTAAGGAAAAGATAAACATACATCCTAATTAAGGAAAAGATAAACATGGTTTGACACAAATGAATCACTGGTGCAAGAGTATTATAGAATCTTTAGGAACTAAACGACATACCACGACTCTGTCTATATTCATCACGCATAAGATAAACCTCTTCAACACGGCCAAATTGAGAAAAGATCTGCAAATGCCGCAACAGTGAAAAAGTTCACTACATTATTTCTGTGACAAATATATAGCAAGAAGAGGCAACTGCCCCCCTCGTCTATAAATTATAGTTTTCAAAAACACAAACAAGACACACAAACAGTACAGTCCATTCAGAAGAAGAGATCAGTAAATAAGTTCCACATGCAAATACTCATAGATACAGAGGGCATTCTTTTCTCAACGAATAACCTATGGGCATTCCTTGGGGAAACCAATAACATTTGTGGAAAAAAAAAACATGGACGATATCAGTATCTTATCAACACTGCACAGCAAAATCTAATCAAATCTTTCCTGCTCTGCTAATCTGGCATTAATCAAGGAAGTCTACAAAAGAATCTAAAGCTGGAATATGAAAGATACCTCCTCAACTTCTTTTTCAGATGCCTGTTTGTTCAGCGATCCAACAAATAACTTATACTCCAGTGCACCTATCAGAAGAAGGGGAAAAAGGTCAGCAGGCAGACAGTGAAAGAAAGCAGTCGAATAAACAAGATCAGCATTTTTTAGAATAGAGATAGCATATTGCAAAATTACAATTATTCATAGTTTGGATTTACAGTATAGATACCCAATCCCGTGTACACCAGAGAATCAGGATTATGATAAGGTACATGACTCAGAGATAATTACCTAGGCGTTCTCTCTCCCCGTCAGCATACCGAACTTGAATAGGGCCGATTCCCTGAGAATCAACAAATTATAAAAAGTGAAACTACCAGCATTTGCCAGTTCCTAGAAGAAACAGCAGTGGCAATTACCCCAGGGAGAGTAATCTGGTTATGCAATGCTCTAATGGCTCTATCAGCATCTTCAGAGGTTGCATATTTTACAAAACAACAGCCTGCATTAAAGACGGATTACTTGAACTGTATGCTAAAGGTTCAAAATTCCCCTCTATCAACATCAGGAGGTATCAAAATGCATTGAAAGTTTGCAATGTAAATTTATAAGCCACACCCACAATCTGGCAGAAATAGAACTTCACAAAACATGCAAGTTCAGAAGAAAGAATTAACAATCCAGAAAGGCCTTGGCAGTCTCCTTTCTTGACCAATGGAGCATATTGAAAGGCAACAACTTAATCAGCCAGGGTTGGCAAATAACTATCTAAAGCAAGCCCTTTCAGAGAAGGAAGAGAGAGAATGTGCAAGGAGCACGAATCATACATTCACAAATCCAGACAGAAGTAAACGGTATTCAAAATAGAAACAGGGAATCACCCATTCCTGGTCGACAGTTCAACTTAATCAGCCAGGGTTGGCAAATAACTATCTAAAGCAAGCCCTTTCAGAGAAGGAAGAGAGAGAATGTGCAAGGAGCACGAATCATACATTCACAAATCCAGACAGAAGTAAACGGTATTCAAAATAGAAACAGGGAATCACCCATTCCTGCTGCATTAGTCACAAATTGTGCTATGTACACCAGCAAACAGGATGTCGACAAAACCCTACTAGCCGTAGACCAGTAACAATTACAAATATAGTAATTGCATGCAATCTGAGAATGAGAAAGGACTACAAAGTACATAGTCATACACAGCCAAGTATCTACCATGAAGATGATTCTTAACACCAATGGATAAGCCAATGAAAAACAGAACAAAACATACTGTAAAGGGCAAAGATTCTCAAATCTTCAGGATATAGGCACACAAAGGGGGTCTAAAGAAAGCAGAAGAAACATCAAGAGCTTGATTTGAAAATGGGAAAAGAACTACACACAGATACCATCGGATATCTATCCCACATGATGAAATTTGAATTATCAGTAGGTGCGATTCAGATTCGCAACGACGAAAACCACATTCAGAAAACTAAGAAACATTGAACTTATTCATTCATTCATTCACTCATCCATCCATTCATTCCTTCATTCAAACATTCATCCACGCATTCATTCATTCGGTCAATCTATGGGGAGAGGTAGTATTATACATCAGAACCCATCCAAGGAAAACAAAAAGACATCTCAGATCATCCATGAGAAAGAATGAAGATAAGATCTTGACATCAACAGCTTCTCAATCCACAAGAAAGAAAAGAAGAAGACTACATTCATTCCAGCATCAAGCCGTCCAAGAGAATAATCAGGAATTCCATCAACCAATAAAGACAACACATCCATATTTGGATGTATATAAGCAAAACATCCATCCTGGATCACACATCTATTCTTACAAGGCCAAAACGTTGACCAATAAAGGGCAGAATGAATCAAACCATCTCCTGAACCCTGTGAACTACCCACCTAAAAGATCCATTAATCCTGTCAAGACCATACACATCATCACAATCCATCCAAGGAATAGAAAAGGAAAAGAAAATCCATCGGGACCAATAAGGATAGGAAAACGCTTCGTAAACCAATACCACTATAAAGTAACATCAAACATATGTTCTTAGTGTCTGTACATTAACTCTAAATCACCCTGAAATATAAGCTACAGATACCAGACACCCCTAGGATTGCTGCAAGTAGCAAAACCCACTACCCAAATTTTATACATAAACTCCTTTTTACCAAGCTACAAGGTGGCCTTCTCGTTTGACAGGACCGAATACAAACAAGACGCGAGCAAAGCACAACCAACAAGCCGGAAACTTGTTGCAAATATACGGAGGGCAACGATGAGACTATGGTTGCTTCCCATCAGCCTTTTCAGGATACCTGAAATTCAGACAAGTACAGATGAAAACAATTTCCTAGAAAATAAAAACATACATACCTTGCTGTTCTCCAGTTCTCTTATCCTTGATCATGGTAACCTCGAGAACATTTCCATGCCGTTCAAAAAAGGGGCGAATCTGGAGTCAGTAACACATCCATTACCAAAAATGTAAAATCTAAAGATCACATCAGTTAGGAAAAACAAAGCAGCAGCAACATAAAATACTGCTGCCCCTGAATGTCTCAATAATGTAAATACAAAGAACAAAATAAAAAAAGGATAGAGCTCCCAGTTTAACTCACGTCTTCTTCCCTAGTTGTCTTTGGTACAGAACCAACAAAAAGCTTGATGAAACTTCCGCGATCAGAAAGTTCTGCAAAAGAAATAACAAGCCAAGGCGAGACGACATTCACACATTAGACTGGGAAATCCACAATAACAGCATTACTTGTGAAAACTACCTCATGGAACACCTCCAACACAGAAGTTAAATCATATTTAAGTTACCCTAAACTAAAGTGCTGCTGTAATTGCCTAGACCAAATCAGAAACAATAAACGAGCCAGATATTTGCTAGATCAAATATGTTCCGAGTAGCTGTCCCAGAAATTGGGGAAAAAATCAACACACAAGCTTACCAGTTCCGGGAGAACTGCCATTCTCGGTGAAAGGGAAACCCCTTTTCTGACCAGACAGAGGCTGTTGCATCACCGGTGGTGGAGTCGGTCGCAGATAATACACAGACTCCAAACCTCCGCTAACACCGCTCGGTGCCTGAAACCCCATGCCACCGCTGCTGAATCCTCTTCCTAGACCCTCCGTAGCCAGAAACCCTGCGTCACCGGTCGGCAGAAATCCTCTTCCGCCGCCACCAGAACCAACCATCGACCTAGGCTTAACTCCTTCAACGCCGCAACTTAGGCCCATCGGCCGAAAACTTCCACCGCCTCCGTTTCCGGCAGGACTCATCTGCCGGAAACCTCCTCCAATGCCAGGATCCATCGGCTGAAAATCCCCTCCACCAGGGGTACCGTTCATCGGCCGGAACCCTCCCCGTCCTGCGCCGTCTGGGACGAACTGATGCCGTGGGCTTTCAAAAGCGCCGCGGCAGCCATCGGAGGCACTACCGCCGCCGATTCCGACTTGGTAACTGCTTGGGCTGTTTCCGCGGCGACGATGACGGTTGAAACCGTCGTCTTCGTCGTCGTAGCGGCTCATGCCCGGGGAATCGGACAAACGAGCGGTGCCTCGGGGAAAATTTCGGCGGGTGTGGTAGGGGGCGTCGG